GAAGACCGGGATGCCCGCGAGCACCTCGATGCGGAGCACACCGACAAGTACATGGCGGAGCTCCGCCGCCTGTACCCGGAGCGCATCAAGGAGGAGCTAGCATCGGCGGTACGAGCTCTATAAGTTGGCAATGGTGACGGTCTTTTCTCCAGCGATGGTGACGGCTCCGGGTCCGACGGCAGCGGAACGGGCCAGGGCGGTGGCAGCCCCATCAACGATGACGAATAGGAGAGGATTATGGCCGAGATAACTGACAGCGACTAGTTCGTTTTGGTTTGTATGCAATCTTAGTTTAGAATTTTTTTCATTGCAACGCATGAACCTTTTTGCTAGTGGTTAATTAATGTTCTATTATGGTTATTTGTGCCACATGTTTATAATTTTCTTTTCTTTTTTACGCGATCAAATTTTGGTCGGCCTCTCGTTGGGCGCACCAGCCAATGTATATATCCTTCGCCCCAGGTGCAGTGAAGTGGATTTTTGCACTCACCCGCCCGCTTTCTAACTTAAGAAATATTTTCGTTTGCAGAAACCCCCCTAATTCTCTGATCCATCATCCCCAACCCAAAGCTCCAAGTTGTGCGTCGTGCAACTCCTGACCCAAATCCTTCCTTGCCAGATCTCTCGCATCGCCCCCCAAATTGAATCTCAATCCGAAGGCCAAGTACCACGGCAACGCATGGATGATTCCCTTGAACTTCTCTAGCGGCGGCAATCAAGTAGCGACAACAATGGCTCGACGGTCCTTAGACCCGGCCGGCCGGCCGGCCGTCTCGACGGCGAAGCCATGACAACCGACGACCTTCTACGGCGGTGATGATGCGGAACGATGAGGCGCCAACGCCGCCCTGGATGGCCTCCTCCGCGGGCGATGATTCCTATTACATAGGAAGCTGCAGCCTCTCGTCCATAGGAAGTTGTAGCTGTAACCTGTAGCCTGTACAAAATGTACCGGTGCTATGCTCATATGAGTAAACTGTATCAGTATTTGCACCTAAATAAATGACATCGTGTGAGCTGCTTGTATGTGTTTATAATCTTTTCTAGATTCCTTACCAATACGTGATATGCCTTACCAAGCTTGTTCAGATCAGAGGCTTTCGTTGAGCTTTTCCCTTGCTCAAAACCATGTATGCTGTTGCCACAGAATTCAGTGACTAGTTCAGTTACGAACTGAAGTGCTGGAAAAAAATCAGTGATCTTCTCAGTCATGTGGTCAAACCATATATTGTTCAGCAAAGATTTTGAGTTGCAGAAGAGGGTTAGGATGGCTTTGTCTAGTTTTGATGTCTAAGCTATAAGCAGCAAGTCACTATCCAAAATATCCTGGACATTCACAAAGTTCAATGACTAAGCTCCATATGTGTTGAACAAAATCAGTGACTTATTCAGAAAATCTTCTGAATTACCAGAAGTGGCCTAGAATGTCCGTAATCAGTTTTAAGATAAAAAAGGCTATAAAAACAAGTCCATATCCAAAGTTTCCTGAACATTTACTGTAGTTCTTGATTGATCATGTATAACAAGTATATTGACAAACTGTATTTTCTGCTCCGGTATGATGCAGGTCTGAGCAAAGAATTTATTTAACATGATGAAAATTTGACAATCATCGCCCTACTGATGTTCATATAATGTAGTAATTTGATAATCATAAAAAATTATAAATCAAGTCAAATTTGATTTAACATAGTGCAAATCCCGGTCCATTACATGGTTCCCGTACATCAAAGGCTAAATCATAACATATATAAAATCATTCTTTGCATCGCAAAATTTGGCATCAGCAAGCACCATTTAGTTGCATATCTTCCACAATCAGTCCCCTTTTCCCTTTGCTTGGACAATTGCGACTATCATGAAATACTATTTGCTTGCATGTCTTGCACAAGCGTGCTACCCTTGCCTTTACTTCTTTGTCCTTCTTTTTTCGACTATCCTCCTTGGTCTCCTTTCCACTCTTTATTCTTTTGCATCTCCCCACCGTATGAACATCAGTGGGTGGATGTATATGAACTTCAGTAGGAATATTGCAACCAATAAAAGCCTCATATTCCTCTTGCCTTGTGCTTTTGGTAGTTGCAGGAACCATTTGGTCTAGAGGGACCTCAACGTTCAACACACTTGATGTTAAGAAGTCCATGCCTACTCCCTCCGTTCCAAATTACTCGTCGTGGCACGGAGGGAGTACATCTGAGTGCTTCGCCTTCTGAATCATATCTTCCATGTTATTACGTATAGATGAAATCTTCTCTCTTGTGGCCGCATCCAATGCATCAGTGGGTTTTTCTTCTAGTAAATTTCCTTGTTCATCAAAAACACTCTCCCTGCAAAGAATTTATTTTTGTTAGTCATATTATTTTTTAACAATAAGGAATCAATAGTTATGCCTTAGTTTTTGTAGGTTGTTCTCCCCAGAAAGTCTAACAAAGATGTGTGCATCACAACCATATCGTGTGTTGGCCTGCTTACGCTTTTTCCTCGAGGAGTCATCGACCTCCTTACTATCTTTCGACTTGAATCCTTCCCTATTACTCATAAAGCGCTTAGTTCGTACCACCTTATTCTCAGTCTTTTTCTGTTGTCCGATACGAACTCCAAAACCCGCATTATGTGCATATGCCTTGTAGAACTTCTCCACTGCCTCGAGTCCTTCAAATGCCATACCTACTTTAGGCTTCAAGTTCTCATCACATTCAGGTGTAAAAGACAAAAACTGCAACATCAAGAATAAATTGTGACCACCACATTCACACATAGATCAATAAAGGATTAGTTGTAAGGTAGTACAAACTAATCAAACTTACAGCTAGGGATA